CCTACTCACAGTGGTGGATCTGCGGGTTGGGCCAGGGCAGCCCAGGGGAGGGACATGCCTTGTAGATCTGCATCTATCTAAATCCTGAAAACATGGTCTGGGGGCTGCTTGGCCCTGCCCTCCAACCCACATCATGGGTCCTGTTTGCAGTGGGCTGCTGCGTTTGGGCTACACTGGGCCATGGAGTTGGTGCTGGGTTCCCTACTCACAGTGGTGGATCTGCGGGTTGGGCCAGGGCAGCCCAGGGGAGGGACATGCCTTGTAGATCTGCATCTATCTAAATCCTGAAAACATGGTCTGGGGGCTGCTTGGCCCTGTGGCTGAGCTCACCTGCCTGGCCAGGGCACAGAGTCTTACTTGACACGTTAGTGGGGGAGCAGCATCCTCAGCCCAGCTCTCTGCTCCATGTTTCTGCTGCTGAGCTGTCAGGACTCGAGCGAGGGGGTAGCCTCCCAAATATCCCTGGGGGAGAGCAGTTCTGTGCATCACAGATGCAAGAAGAAGGTACTAAAGCCCCAGTCCTATGCTGCAGGAAGACACCACAAGGTAAGGTTGAAGGAGAATTGGGGGCGGGCAGATACCATGGACCAGAGGGGGAAGGGTACCCCATAGCCTTGGATCATTCATATAAACTGCCCCCATTTTGAGTTGTCTTGGGCTCTCTCAGCACTTGAGTTACATGGAGCTTGGCAGTCGCGAGGCTGGTTTATTATGTCAATGTCACTAAATGGAGTGTTTGCCCATGGCAGTGTTCCCCAAAGTGCATGGCACAGCCCCCTGATAGTGGGGCATGAAGGACGAGTCCTGGGGGCACATGCAGAGATCCAGTTCTTCCCTAGTGTTAACTTTCATTTTTTGCAAAGTAAGTTTAGTTGTTAATGGTTGCAGAGAAATGCATCAAGATAAACTTGATAACTGATGACGCTGTGGTCTGTCTGCATTTGCAGAGATCCTGAAATAATAGGTTGGAGAGGTGGGAGCTGTCCCATTCATTCCAATGGGGACTGACTCAAATGCCTGTGACCCTGTTTGAAAAGTCAGCACTGCAAACTACATCGCATGTAAGGAGGAAGAGAAAGTATATTACGAAAATCTAAATTATGGCTGGTCTTTAACACTAGATGGCAGTGTTAGTGGGGAGAAGCAATGTTTGGTTTCATTTTATGTACAGTACCTCGGCTTTCAGAAGTTTAGGACACACTGGACCATGGTGCCTCTTGTATGGCATTTTTCAGTGATAAGGCTCATTTAATATAGGATGTTGCTATATGGTCTGTGAGAATTAATAATGAATTTAATTTAAAAAAATAGTCTTTTGTAATCCGATGGGTTTGATTTTTTAAAACTGAGCCTCCAGTTTCACAGGTAAAATTTTGCATCCATGATAAATTGGGCCCGCAATTTTTTCCACCAATGCTTCCTCTTGATTCTATTGCAGGTGCAAATTGTGGGTACTATCAACTGAGGAAGCAAAATTGCCTCTAACCTGGAGTATGTTGGAAAATCAGGTTCATGGTTACACTTCAGAAGAATCAGAAATACTTTTGGCCCTGTGGGGGGAAACAGGCTGGCTTATCAGCCTTAACCTGGGCTTATCAGCCCCCAAGCTGCATTGTGTATACACACCAGTTCCCTTGCCTCTTGGGATCTTATTTATAGCCTGCTTTTGTCTGTGGTATCTGAGTGTCTTCTGCCTTGTGAAGTTGGGATGGGCCAGGTAAACAAAATTTTCCTTACAGTAAATAGCAATGATCAATGTGGGGTTCATGTAAAATTAATGAGCTGGACTGAGCCTCTATAATGCTGTTTTGAGAGTGATGAAGAAGAAAGGTTAGTAATGTATTACAAGGAACATTGAATTAGGTGTCAAGTATCAGAGGGGTAGCCGTGTTAGTCTGGATCTGCAAAAGCGACAAGGAGTCCTGTGGCACCTTATAGACTAACAGATGTATTGGAGCATAAGCTTTCATGGGCGACCCACTTCGTCAGATGCATGTAGTAGAAATTTCCAGAAGCAGGTATAAATATGCAGGCTAGAGATAATGAGGTTAATTCAGTCAGGGAGGGTGAGGCCCACTTCTAGCAGCTGATGTGGAGGTGGGAACACCAAGAGAAGAGAAACTGCTTTTCTACTTGGCTAGC